ACTCCTCCGATTCTCTCCCCCATCCCATCGGGGTAGGGGGAGTGAGCGAGCGGCTGCCTGGTGCTGAGTTGCTGGCTGGGGCTAAACCACACCTTGGAAAATAGGATAAGGGCATAAAGGGCTCCATTCAGGTGTAAACGGGTTGTTGGTCAGAGGGCTGTCTGTCCATGCCTTGTCCCTTGATCAAGGGACAATTAGAAAGGGGGAGGGTGGCAGCATGCACCCGTGTCTATGTGTCTCTAAGGGCAAGGCAACAGCGAGAATTGTTTAGCAGAGGAACCAGGGGAGTCCAGGCCAAATGCCAGAGGGTTTTGTATGCACAGATGCGAGCCTAGGTATGTATGCATGCATGCAGGGTCTGTGCCAGCAAGTGGAGTGGGGCTGCAGGCCTCGGGGGTTCGTTATGTCCATGTGCTAGTAACCGACACAGGTGCCAGCTATTAGTTAAAGACTGTCTAAGCCCAGCTACTGGAGAGATCCACATGGTGCATGGCGACAAACTGACAGAATAGAGGGACCTGGACACGCTCAAGAAGTGGATCCATGTAAACCTCATGAGGTTCAACAAAGCCAAGTGCAAGCTTCTGCACATGGGTCAAGTCAACCCCCATTATCAATACAGGCTGGGGGATGAAGGGATTGAAAGCAGCCCTGTGGAGAACGACTTGGGGGTACCAGTGGATGAAGAACTGGACGTGAGCCGACAGTGTGCGCTTGCAGCCCAGAAAGCCAACCATACCTTGGGCTGCAGCAAAAGAAGCGTGGCCAGCAGGTCGAGGGAGGGAATTCTGTCCCTCTACTCTGCTCTTGTGAGACCCCATCTGGAGTACTGCATCCAGCTCTGGAGTCCTCAGCACAGGAAAGACATGGACCTGTTGGAGCAGGTCCAGAGGAAGCCACAAAAATGTTCCGAGGGCTGGAGCCCCTCTCCTGCAAGGACAGGCTGAGAGAGTTGAGGTTGTGCAGCCTGGAGAAGAGAAGGCTCCAGGGAGACCTTATTGCAGCCTTTTAACATTTACAGTGGGCTTATAAGAAAGATGGGGACAGACTGTTTAATAGGACCTGCTGCAATAGGACAAGGGGTAATGGCTTTAAACTAAAATAGGGTAGATTCAGACTAGATAGAAGGAAGAAATTTTTTACAATGAGGGTGGTAAAACACTGGAACAGGTTGTCCGGAGAGGTTGTAGATGCCCCATCCCTGGAAACATTCGAGGTCAGGTTGGATGGGGCTCTGAGCACCCTGACCTGGTTGAAGAGGTCCCTGCTTACTGCAGGGGAGGTGGACTAGATGATCTTTAAAGGTCCCTTCTAACCTGAACCATTCTATGATTCTATGGTTAACAATAAATGTACTGTTTTAACCTTACCAGTATGCTATGAAATCTTTGTTTCAGCTTTGCTTCTGATAATACTTCTTACTAGGATCAGTCTAGTTTATCTAAATTTGGAATTGTTGTACTCTTGGAAAGCTCTACATTAATAAAGCAGTAAGCATATGAGAGCTGGCAGGTAACAGCTGGTTGTCAATTTCCCTTCTGTGCCAGCTCTACTTTTAAAATCCCAGAAATTGCTTTTCCACAAACCCGTAGAACTTGTACTAGCAGACCATGCTGCCAGATTCCCACTGAGAAATCTCTCTAGTGAGGCCACATCATTGTATGGAGGGAAAGAAAACAAAGATTCCAGAGTTCAGAATGGTAAACAGCAAGTGAACATCTGTGCCTACCAGGAAAATAAGTATTATCCAATCTCCAAGTCCTTGCCTACGTTCCACGTAAGCACTCATCTATAGAAACGCCTTTGGTTTATGTTACCTACAGATATATGCAGGCAGTACACAGCCATGCATACTTCAGTTCTCGGCCGAATCAAGCCAGATTCTTTGTATTACTTTCCCTCCTGGGAACTGTTATTTACTCAGGACTTTCCTAGGAGGCATCTGTATGGTGTCTATGTCATGTAATTAAGATGCATTTGCTGTGCATCCATACGGGTGGGCTGTAACCATAGAAAAAAAAAGTCTCACATTAGCATGGTGAAATGACAGCTCCTGCTATTAACCATCACACATTTGTTAGTACATAAAATATATTTAATTAAAACCAAAATATCAAACACTAGATTGACGAAGTTTCATGCAGCAGAGATTTCACTTGTGTCCTGGCTGCAGCAGACACCTGTCTGCACAAGGTGAACAGAATGCACTTCTGGAGACCAGTAAGTACTCTAGGTGATAATGCTGTCAAGAGCTCAAAACCTAAGCTCTCAGCAGGCACATCTAAAGAATTTGGAGCAAAAGAAAGTGCTGATTCCTTCAGCTTCAGGAAGTCACCATGGCAGATGGCCAAACGTGCAGTCAGTTGGATACAAGACCTTCAACTCATATGACCAACAGTTACTGCAGGAAGAAATACATAAATATATCAGAGGAAGCTGTTCACAGATAGAAGACTTCATGCATGGTTCCTTGCAAGTTTCTTTATGCTGTTGCTTTACTTTTAATTCCATCACAAGGAATTCCAAACCCTCTATTTCTGAAGGTCTCATTCATTTGGGTTGCTTCTTCTCTGGTATTTCATCCGTGTCTCTTGCATAAAGTTTCTGAAGGCTGGTTCTTCATGACGCTCCTCAGTAACTGGGGGAAAAAATCCACAGTTCAGGACTATTTCAGCACTTGTTCTACTTGTGTTACTGAAGAAAGCTAGAGTCAGACTAGTCAGAGCAACACATAAAGTCTATTTGATCTTCAACTTCATTACAAGGCAAAAGAAATAAGCGAGCATAAAATTAATGGAACAGGGAAAAAATGAAGAGTAAGTCTGCGAGCTACA